GGGATATAGGGATGTAAGATGTTATTCTGAGTTGGGCAGAAAGGAAGTTGAGGGCCTGCTCCCAAAGGTGAGCACGAGAGGTGCTCTTACAGCTCCTTGTCTGTTCTTGTCTCATGGCCACAGCCAGTTCTGCCTGGTAGTGGAGACATCCGTTCAAACAGTAATTGATCAGTCCCTCTACCAGACTACATACAAACTCCTGGGGGACAGGAAGACATGCGCTGTTCATCCTGGGACACTGTCCTCCTCCCATTAACCTCGCTGAGCTTTCCATGTTGAAGATGCTTAGAAAATAATTAATGGAAGAATAACCACATAAAAACACTGCTACAGAGATATTCAAGTCTCAGGGAAAAAAATATGTATATATGTATATATATATCTGTATGAGTGTAATTTTTAAAATGTGCCTGTTTTTCAAAATGAAAATGTTAAATCATGATAAAACTTCAAGAATTCTTGCAAAGAACAAAAAAGAAATGAAATGCCAAAAATAAATATTTGGAAGTGCCTACTAATCCAGTAAGTAGAAAAGATTCGCTGTGTATTTAATTGAATATGTGGGCCAAGAAAGTGTTGCCATAGCTTTCTTCTATCATCAAGAACATAAATAAGTATGCTTTAAAATGATTCCTGTTCTTTACCCCTTCCACCTCCAGTGAGGTAAAGAATTTAAAATTGCAAAGGAAAAAAATAGAGCTAAATGTGCTATTTTCACACACGTAGTTTTGAAATAGAAAATACTCAGAAACATGCCGGCACATACATAGCAGAATTCATAATAAAGTTGTGAGAAACCTTCTCATCTAGGGAGATATTTCCTAGAAGATAGCAATGGCTCCTGAAATTGCTCCCTGATGCCTTCCTTCAAAGACTTTAGGAATCTGTAAGTAGTGAATGTGTGTGCACATGTGTGTAAGTTCACCAAGAAAGAAAAAGTGAAAGAAATTTGTTGAAGAAAGTTGCTTCTAAGGAGTTAGGTCTGCATTCTTTTTTGTTTACTTTATGAAAGTGATTGGTTTTCATCTTCAAAGTATGTGACTTTTGAGGTATCTGTTTTTGGGGCAGACTCCTTTCCAGCTGTGGCCCAGAGTATGCCTGTCATTAGCTCAGTTGCTCAGTCACTGTCTCCATTTATAGTTGGGTTTGTAAAGTGTTTAAAATAGGAACTCTGGGTTTCTGCTGATCTTGAGTCATCAAAGAAAAGAAAAGCTTTATTCCTTCTTATATTCAGTTCCATCCATGTGGACATTTTTTTTTTTTTTTACATTTATCAAGTTTAATTTTTATTTCTCGGGAACTTTTAACAAATTATAATAAAACGATAGATTTGTTAATTGCTTAGTAGAGGGTGTAACACAATAAACTATTTTAAGCTGCAATTATAGTTAACAATAATAATAACAATTACTTTTATCATCATCTTTCAAAAATACTCCATCAGTGATTTTTCACAATTCTGTACACCTAAACACTGATAAACACTTAAGTACTTTTAAAACAACGCTTTTATCAAAATTTCATAGCACAGTAGCGTTGTTTTTTTAAAGCCTTGATTGAACTCTTTATTTGATAAATTATCTGTTTCATTAGTTGTTTTGTCAGGTTTTTTTTCCCTTGTTCTTTCCTTTGAAACAAATTCCTCTGCCTTCTCATTTTGCTTAACTTTCTCTGTCTCAATGAAATTTGATGAAACAGTTACCCATCCCAGTCTTGAAGAGGTGTCCTTGTGTGAGAGCATCCCTATACAGTCTACCCAGTGGCTTTGGTGGGAGAACTGTATCTGAAGTGATCACGAGTTACATCTTTCCCCAGGGTGTGCTGGCAGCTATCACCTTGGTAGGAGGTGGGGCTGGAGATGGAGGGGCTAGGGCCAGAGCCAGGTGTGAGCCAGGGCTTCTCTTCTGTTCAGTGGCCAGTACCACGCTAATGGGGGGAAGAGTCAGTCCCCAATGTGGACATTTTTTAAGACCTACATGGTTGACTAGAAAAATCTAACCTTACTTTTTTTTTTTTAGGTTCAAACTGACTCTTCCATACTCTCTGCTACAGAATGTCAGGGTCTTACTGAGCATTTATTTAGGAATTTCTTCAGGACATGTATTTTTACAAACCACTTAATGTGGAAACTGCATCTTCTGTTGGGTGCTATTGGGACCACCTTACAGAAGGGAAGGGAAAGGCTACTCCACCAAGGGAAAGGCTACTCCACCAAGACAAGAATACTCAATGATGCTTAAATTACAAAAGGAAATGGCAGCTTTGCTCCCTCAGAGGCTATCAAAAAAGGAAAAAGATAACTCTATTCAACAGCTTTCTGTAACTTAACATAAAACTAAATCTAGAATTACAAAATCTCTAGGAAACTACAATCGAGACAAATCACAAATATGACAGGAAAAGATAGCCGTCACAGTCAGATCCCAATGAAGATGATAGCACACAGAAACTAGTCCCTTTCAAGGAGCTGATTTATAAATGCATTGTGTAAATAGGTCCACTTGGGTATAGAGAAGCCATTAGGGACAAAGTGATAATCTGGGGCTAGCAGAGTCAGAACTGTCATCTCCCTAGGTTCAAGAGGACCAAGGGGGAGAGCAGTGGTTTAAATAGGAGGAGAGAGTGTGGTAGAAGAGAGATCCTAGAAAGGACCAGTGACCCTCCTTGGCTGACAGCTGGGAACTTCACAATCAGGTTCCCAGAAGACATGTGGCTCAAGAGTTTACTGGTGTCTCTCAACAGGGGCACTGTTGTCATCTTGGGTTTGACAATGATGTGTTTTTGCCTTTTAACCATTCAGTGAAAATAGAATCCCCTAATCACTGTGACAGTAAAAAACATTGCCACACATTTCTAAACTCTCCCTGGTCGCTAGGTGATTTCCTCTCCAGTTGAGAACCGCTATACAGAGAATTCCCTGGCAGTCCACTGGTTAGAACTCCACGCTTCCACTGAAGGGGGCATAGGTTTGATCCCTTAGTTCCAGGATACCTGGCCCGGGAACTAAGATCGGGCAAGCAGCATGGCATGGCCAAAAAAAAAAAAAAAAGAGAGAACTACTATATGTTAACCAAACATCCCTGAGATGTTTTAATCTTTATCTCTGGATCAACCTAGATCACCAGAAAGCTACTTCCAGAAAGCCGTATGTCTAAATCAGTATACTTGTATGTTATGGTGGGGACAGGATAGCTGTACTGTCTCCAGCCCCACATCCACGTCCCAGGCAGGAAGGAGGAAAAGGGGAAAGTAGGAAGGGATCATGCTGTGTCAGGAGAGCTCTAGCTTTTCCAGAAATGCTTTGCATGCATCTCATTGGCCAGAACTGTGTCACGTGGCAACTCCTACCTGCAAAGTAATCTAGGGAAGAGTGGGCACCTTGCTGCCCCAAACAAAGCAAAATTTTTGAGTGATGAAGAAGGGCGGTGGGTATGGGGAAGCAGTTAGCATCTGCCCCTCATGTGTGTATCTCTAATGGCTTGGTGTGGGCAAAGGACACTAGAGTAATATAAAGTGTCGTTTCTTCCTATACATACTAGAATTGACCTGGAAATTAATGAACAACCGAATTAGGGTGTGGTCATTCATTTCTTGTATCAACAGATCTAATCATAGTAAGCCAGAGCAAAATTAAGACAGTCTGTCACTGGAATGTTTACAGATCCCTAATAGACTAGTGCCTTAGGATGAATGTTTGAATCTTCAAACCTTCCCTAAGCCTTTACTTCTCCCCAGCCTAACCAAGACCTCTCGCAGTTCAGCAGAAAGTCTTTTAATCTTTGTGGCCTTAGGACATTTTTAGGGCATTCAGTAAGTATTTCTGCATTGAACAAATGAATGCTACAAAAAACAAAGATGTAAAGGGAGGAGGCTGCATTTGAGTTATCTTTGGTAAATCACTCTTTGACAGGAATCTTTGATCCTAAATTTAGTATTTCTTTGGTTGTACCAGCAGTATTTGTTTATTTCTCCCAACACCCCTCATTGCTTTTTTTTGATCCCTCTGCTTAGTCCTTCAGCTCTCTTTCTCTAGTATTGCCTTTTAGCAGTATGGTGACCCAAGTCTTCCGGTAGTTTGTTTGAGATCCCATTGTTCAATTTATCTGTTGTCTTTTGGTGCTGGTGCTTTTGATGTTTCTATATGTATTTTAAAAAAAATCATTGCCAAATCCAATGTCATGAATTTTTTTCTTCTGTGTTTTTTTTAAGGAGTTTTATAGTTTTAGCTCTTATATTTAGAGCTAGAATTTGGGGTTACTTTTTGTATACGGTGTAAAGTAAGGGTCCAGCCTCATTCTTTTGCATGTGGATGTCCAGTATTCCCAGCACCATTTGTTGAAAAGACTATCCTTTCCCCATCAGATGGTCTCGGCACCTATGTCAAAAATCAAACCACGTATGCAAGGATGTATTTCTGGGCTCTCAATTCTATCCCATTGGTCTACGTCTGTCTTTATGCCAATGGAACACTGATTATTATAGCTTTGTAATAAATTTTGAAGTTGCGTAGTGTGAGAGCTCCAATCTTCTTTTTCAAGATTGTTTTGGTTATTCAGAGCCTCAAAAGTTCCATTGGGGTTTTGACAGGGATTGCATTAAATCTGTACATTGCTCTGGGTAGTAGTAACATTTTTACAATATCAAGTCTTCCAATCCATGAACATGATGTGTCTTTCCATTTAGTTGTATCTTCTTTAATTTATCAGCAACATTTTGTACTTTTCAGTGTATAAGACTTTCACCTCTTTGGTTAAGTTTATTCCTAAGTTTTTTCTTTCTTTTTGAGGTTATTATAAATGGAATTGGTACACAGAAGCGCAACTGATTTTTGTGTTGTCTGTGAACTCTTAGAAGGCAGGAACCATGCCTTGTTTGTGTTTGGCCGAGTTAATACAAAAGTAATAATGGCACTTATTAATATTTGTCTGCTTATGTATTTTTATGTTTTATTGGCAATAATCTTTGTCTTTTATTTTTTCCTTTTCTCTTTTCTGCTTTAGGGCTCTACTAGCTCAACAACAGCTTCCCCTCCAGTCTCCACCCCTGTCACAGGACATAAGAGAATGGTCATACCAAACCAGCCCCCTCTGACGGCCACGAAAAAGTCTACGTTGAAGCCACAGCCTGTACCCCAGGCTGGACCCATCCCCGTGGCTCCAATTGGAATGCTAAAACCCCAGCCTCAGCCCGTCCCAGCCTCCTACACTACGGCATCCACCCCTTCAAGGCCTACCTTCAATGTGCAGGTGAAGTCAGCCCAGCCCAGCTCTCATTACATGGCTGCCCCTTCACCAGGACACTTTTATGGCTCAGGGCCAGGGGCCCAGGGCTATAACACTCAACCAGTTCCTATCGCTGGGCAGGGTCCGCCTCCTTCCACACGGGGAGGCATGGATTATGTGTATATTCCACCACCAGGACTTCAGCCTGAGCCTGGGTATGGGTATGCCCCCAACCAAGGACGCTATTATGAACCCTATTGTGCAGCGGGGCCTGGCTATGGGGGCAAAAATGACTCTGATCCTGCCTATGGTCAACAAGGTCACCCAAATACCTGGAAGCGGGAACAAGGGTATACTCCTTTTGGCACCGGGAACCAGAACCCTGCTGGGATGTATCCAGTTGCTGGTCCCAAGAAGACCTATATCACAGATCCTGTTTCAGCCCCCTGTGCACCACCACTGCAACCAAAGGTAGGGAGCTCATTAATATAGTGATGGGAATAAGGGGGTACCTATCTTGGTCTGCCTTCCCCAGAAAGCAGAGCCTAAGGCAGAAGTATACGTGCTACTTTTATTTCATTAGAAAGTACAATCTGAAGGAAGTGCATGAGCGAAGCAGGAAAATGGGGAGATCCTACTTGGGGATACGGGGGCGTGTTACCAATATGGCTTCCGTTTAGTATCAAGTACAACTAAGGTTTCAATCTTGAAGGACCATCTTCCAAAAGACCATATGAACTGTAGCAGCTCAGGACAATCTGTTCGGGGAGAGGAAGGGAAAAGAATTTATCTTCCAGCTCCTTTCCTGTTGGTCAGAGCTTCCTTCTGTGGGTCACAGACTTCCTCACACTTAGATGTTGCATTTACTTGGTCACTAAATGGATCTGAAGTGTCTGATGCCTCAGCAGGGACAGGGAATCCCCACATGTGGAGGTGAGAGGTGCTCAGGGCAGCATGAGATGAGCTGATGACAGGTTGGGCTCGTGTGAAGGCGGTCAGAGCCCAAGCAAAGTTGATACCATAGTGACTGCTGGGGAAGAACAAGTGGACAAGGGCCCAGGAGACCGATGAGGCTAAGGAGATCTAAGGTAATGCAGATATCTTGCCTAGTCTTCTTTGGGAAGGGGCTATAGTAGAATGGCACTTGTTTACTACCCCTTGTTTATCTACATTAATGATCCTCCAAGAAGAATATTACTCTCCAACCATTAACCCTATGAGGCAACTTAAAAAAATTCTTTATGACAGTTATCTTTTTTGTTGTTTGATTTAATTTCAAGCATTTATGTGTTTTAAGTCAACATGTTCAATTACTTCCTGTGAATAGGCAAGATACAATACTATACACACCTACTCACCTACAACTTGGATTTTTCATGTGTCCTTGAACCAACATGATGATGTTTCCTCCCACCATGAAAAGAGGAACCAAGGAGAGTTACTTGGAAGGAGATAGATAGAGAAACCAATCTAGTTTTCAGCCACTGTGTTAGAACCGAGCACTCCCTTCCCCGTAGTAAGAACTGTAAGAAATCAGAAATTGGAGAGCCCTTGATTATCGAGAAGTTCAATGATAAATTGGGAGGATGTACTGGGTGGAAGTTTGGACTATATGTTTGTTTGTTTTTTAATCCTTTACGCAGTTGAGATTGTCAATTTCCAGGCATATCCATTCACATTTTCAACATTATCACAGAATTTAGTGAGGTCCTTACTCTCCGGGTAAGGAGTTTGCTAAATCACTATTCTCACATGAAAGCATCTGCTCTGTTAATGATGCGGATAGATTTTAGGTTACTTAGAGGAAAGAGCCCTTCCCAGCAAGTGGGGCCTGTGGGTAGCTGGAGACATCCGTCAACCTTATGACTGCCCATTACGTGAAAGTGGACCAAAGCCATGATCATCTTCCAACATAAAGATTTCAAGTGAAAACGTGAAGTGTTTTTGAAACATTGCTCTTGGAAGGACTTTCTTTCCAAAAATCTCTTTATGAAAAGAAATGTTATTGAGGGTTTTTTGTTTTGTTTTGTTTTGTTTTTAAAATAAATATTGCCCAAAATAGCCAAGCTGGACAACCTTGCCCTTTGTTAACATTGCAGTATATTTGCATTCGTCCATCCTGACCCCAGAGCAACCGGTTCAGAAGAAAATGGGGTTATTCAACTTTACCTCACTTTGGTACAATTGCAACAAATTCCCCTACAGAAGATTAAAGATTTAGGTTGGGACAATGGCCATCAACATTTAAGTTCCAATAGGTATGCAGTTTTGCCCTGTCCAAAGCAGCCTGACTGTGATAGGATGGCTGAGTGATGTTCCTAAGAGCAATAGATGGGCCCTGAGTTATTTAAGGATCCTGTTACCCCACCTGGGGAAACAGACATGAGACAGAGCAAAAGTATGTCTAGGTGGAGAGAATGATCTGGTAAAGTACAAAGCCAATCTTTGAGTTTCCTGATTTCCCATCATGTCAGTGGGCCTTCTGGAACCAATCCAGTAGTGTAAACAAAAGGATCAGCACCCGCTGCAAGACCTGGTTCTAAGATGTTAGGTCCAGAAACATCACTAGTATTTGGTCTGTCTTCATCAACTTACTTGGGGTGACAGAATGAACTTTTATTAACCACTCTCCAGAAAGCATGAAACTTTATTTTCCTTCTTATTTCAGTAAAAGAATTATTCAGGATGATCTATTACCTTGTTAAGGATTCTGGACATCAGTGGATTTCATGTCATTTAAAAAAATTCTGAAATATTTGTTTTTCAACAGTGTCATGTGTTTTAACATCATATTGTGCATTTAAAAAATGAAAATCAAATCATGTACTTTTTGCTGTGATTATTAAGGAGAGTGGTTAGAGATTGATATTTAGCCATCTGTCTTTGTTTTGGGAAAGGGGAAAGAGGCTGATGAAGCTACAGATATCGTCTGTGTGTGTTGTTGGAGGCATTGGTGGATGAAGGGGTGGGCTCTTTCACAGTTGCTCTTTGAGCAGAACACTACTGTATTCAACTGCACCTGTGCACAGAGCACCTTATTGTCTCAAATATTAACTTTGCTTGGCTTAGCGATGTGACTCCTGGCTTGAGAAGTGAGCTCCTAAATCTAATCCCAGTTCCTCCCTTGATATTCTTCTTTCAGCTTGAGGAAAAGCCTCTAGACCTCTTTATGTCGTGCTCCCAGCCTCACTAAAGTGGAATGTCATCTTCACTAATTAATTAATGACTGCAAAAGGCTTGGAAATCTCCAAGGGCTGAATAATTGCCAAGTGAGGACTATTCAGCTTTTTCACTGGTTTTCATTTATTTCCAATTTTTTAGGCACTGATGGAAAGCATACCTCGGTGCCTTAAAACAGTTACCTTTTGTTACACTGAGAAGTTCTTAGGAGTTTGGCATTTAACCCATTAGGGAAAAAGTTTTCAAAAAATGAAAGAAAGAAATCTCCTTTAGATTTGAGATAAGCTGCTTTAATTTTTCCACGCCATGGTGTGATATAGAAGAATAAGTAGAAGAAGGGAAGGAGAAAGTAGGAAAAAAAGGAAAAAAGAAAGAAAAAAGAAAGGAAGAAAAGAATGAAGAAAGGAAGGAGGCCAAATCAGAACCTACAAGCCTTGGGGGATCGTGATTATATTTGTGTTTCCATAATGTGCTGAGCACTGAATTTGCATGCGACAGTAGACCATAATGTGTTTCCTGGACCATGTGAGCTGAGTTCCTTGAAAAATATTTTTATAAGCAAGTCTTTATAAGAGAGAAATGTTCTCTTCTCACTGGAAACCCTCTTAAAGACACAGTGGAATCTCTTCTCTTTGCCATTTTATAAAAGCTGATATCTGCTGGTTGTTGTGTTGTTCACAGAACTTTTGTCCTGGGTGTTAATCCTCACATTCCCGTGAGGTAGGATGTGTATTTTCTCCAATATTTAGGTAAGGTGGGTCAGCTTGAAAGCCCCAGAGCCAGGACCTAGAGGCAGTCATCACTTTCAGGTCCACAGTGGCAGGTAGCTTTAGCTTCCGCTTCCTTGTCATAACCCTAATCTATGGCAGCCTCGGCTCTGTTGCAGAGACAGGTATTTCCTCTGCAATATGTTAAGAGTGCTGGTGCTGTGCATCTCTGGAAAGCTGTGGAGACCCAACTAGTGGGGGGTTAAGTTAATTCTAAAGCCATCTATTAAAATCTCCTTGGAAAAATCCTTCAGGACAGTGAGAACTTGGAGATCAACCAATCACCTTTCAATAAATCCAACACCAAGTTTATCTTATCCAGAGTCAGAACAGATTCCTACTGTTCATTTAGTGTTTGAATCTGGGGATATTTAATGCGTCAGAGAGGAGAATGAAGGTAGTGAACCACCAGGGTCAGTGTTGACGGATCCCCAAGACCTGGGAATTGTGGAGATTAAGAAAATATTTGAGAATGTTGATACAGTAGCATTTCAGATATTCAAGTAATATCAAAATATTTAAATTTCATTTCATTGTGGTCTTTTCCACAGTGAAATGGAGGTTGTATATATTGGGCGTCCTGCAAGAATTGGTGGCATTTGGGAGAAAACTATCTTTATGGTAATCCCTATGCTAAATATCTCTCAATTCCAGGATCAGAGAAACAAAAAAGAAGTGTTTGTTCGGGTGGGGAGGATAGATGTGGATATAGGCCTCCAGTCAGGTGCTAATAATACCTAGGTCTGTATAAAGCTGAGGATGGAAGAGATTGCTTGAGGAGGACAGTGACCGTAGTATTAGTAATTCCCCTTTGCACAGGGTTTTTCAGTTTCCAAAATGCTTTGAGGACCTCACAAAAAAACATAAGTGATAAGCACAGGTAGAGGATTTTGTCTCTCTTTTACTGATAGGGGTTCAAAAGCTCAATAATGAGAGTCACTCACCTAAGGTCATACTTTAAATTCATGGGTGAGCCACGATTCCAAATCAGGTTTTCAGAAGGTTTGTCCTCATGCTTTCCACCTGGTAAACTATGGATGCTGGTTTGGTGTTTGGATGGGGGGAGTGCCACATCAGCAATGGCAGCCACTGGGCGTGGCTCTGCCATGGCCCACATCACAGGCAGACATGTCGATAGGCTCAGGCAGTTGCGGTGCTGTGTCATGAGATCAACAGCTGCAGGGGAAGCACCGTTAGATCCCTGCTGGGCACCCAGGCTCAGCACTGTGGGGCTATGCTTCCTCTTTCCCATCACTATGTACAATTTATTCCAGTGTTTCTGCGTTCACAGTATCTCAAATCTGTTTTCTTACTGAAGCGCCCTTTGCTGCTGTCCTGGTTCAGTTGTCCCCGTTTCTCACCTGAGCCATTGAAATGGCCCTTTACTGGGTGTCCCCACCTCTAGTCACTCCACACCTGTTCATCCTACACATGCTATCAGATTAACCTTTCTACCCCACAGCTCTGTGCTCGTCACTAATTGCCTTTTCTCAAAAACCTTCAGGAGTCCCCACCCAGTTATGG